TTCCCCCCCCCCCCCCAATGCAAATATAATTCATACCTGGTTGGCCTTTATTTAAGGCTGGAAGTCATCTGAAGAGATGCTTCTGTTAGCAAAGGTATCCCTTCCTTCTAAATTCAACATATAGGTCCATTTATATCCCTGGAAAAACTGACTTTTCAGTGTGTGCAGGACTCCACAGTTATCAGCCCAAGGAAAAGGGTTCGCTGTCGGTGTTACTACATGAATTGCTGACCGCTGTGAATTGCTGACTGGAACAAGGCAAGCCCAGTACATGTGCACATGCTGAAGAAGACAACGAATAAATTCCATTTTCAAACTAGAAAACTTCCTAGAAAATGAAGGGGAAAATCTAGGGTGGAGTCTTCTTTCCTGAGCTACGACAAAAATGTGTGAGCTGGAGGCTAAAAGACTGTGAGCTGTGAACTTTTGAAGGAAACATTCTATGTTGACTCTCTAATAACAGAACCCAACGTTTCCTTCAAGAGTTGATAAGTAGTAATTGATAAGAATTGGGATCGCCACATGCTCAGATAAGGCAAATATTGTGAAACTAATTGTTTTCATTGCGCAGTATTCGTTAGCGTGTGAGCGATAACAGAAGAAAATTTTCTACAGAATTACTACAGTAAGCGTTTTTGCAACTTATCTTTATTGACTCTTCATTATTTTTGTCCCGGATGTTGTTTTTGGAATTCCACTTCCTCCCGTTCCTCCCGTGATCTCTGAGTTTTGGCTTCTAACATCATAGTCTGGACAGGCTGTTAATACTGATGTTAATGCTGATAGTGGTATTGGGTCCAGGGCCTCAATTTATTGATGGCAGCTCCCTAATCAAAGGCCTGGTGGAAGAGCTCCATCTTGCAGGCCCGGCAGAACTGTAAAAAGACCCGCAAGACCCTGATGTCACCCGGGAGCTCATTCCACCAGTGTGGAGCCACCACTGAAAAGGCCCTGGCCCTCGTCACAGCCAGCCTGGCTTCTCTAGGACCTGGGAGGGCCAGACGATTTCGGGTCCCTGATTGTAGTGCTCTCTGGGGAACATGTGGGGAAACATTTACTAACCACCTTTCTTCCTCACAGAGCTCAAGGCAGTTTACAATATAGACAGAATACATAAAACATAATGTATAAAATATACTAAAACCAAAATGTAAAATCACAATTTAGGACTGCTAATAACTTAATCAAATGTGGCCCTAAATAAAACTGTCTTTGGTGGCCTCCTAAAGATCAAGAGCGATGGAACCAGATGCATCTTGCTGGGGAGCTTGTTCCATAATAGTGGGGCTACCACTGAAAAGGCCCTCTCTTGTGTACCCCCTAGACAAGCTTCTTTGGTTGACATAACAGACAAGAGGGCCTCTCTCTGTGATCTTCATTCCAGGGCAGGAGCATATGGGAGAAGACAGCCTTTCAGATACCTAATCCCAAACGATGTAGGTGTTGTGTCTGATGACCGCCACCAGAGTGAATACCCCAGAGCTTGACTCTGGAGGAACAATGGGACAGGGCTCATGGTCTCTCCACCGAGGGACCAATGGGATGTTGGCGGGAGATTCAAACCCACCAATGGGACCTAGGGGGAGTCCCCACATGTGTATATAGTTGGCCCACGGGGCGTTTTCCTTTTGTCTTTGTTGTGTAGCAGTAAGCGTGCAGGATGATACGCGAACCGCAGCGGCCTTGCCATGCGGTTAACCCACTATTGCAGTGTGTGACTGCAATAAAGAAGGCCAATGCTATGCTGGGGACGCACCCGGAGCTATTTTGGGTCAGGAAAATGGCATGGGAGGGAAGGCAGGAGCCCCCTCCTCCCTCTGCGCCATGGTCTGAATCTAAATTGGGCCCCTGCAGCTATTCTAAATTGAGTGCCCACAGGGAACTTGCACCTGGCATTTTCCTGCAAGTCCCTACTCCTGGGGCAATCATGTGGCCTAGGCAGTGTTCCCTCTAAGCTGAGTTAGTGTGAGCTAGCTCACAGTTTCTTAGCCTCCGCCTCACACATTTTTGTCTTAGCTCGGGAAGGATGGGCTCCAGAGCAAACTAATTTATGCAGTAGCCAAATCGCTCACTCACAGCCTTAATGTCAGTAGCTCACAAAGTAGAATTTTTGCTCACAAGGCTCTGCAGCTTAGAGGGACCATTGGTGGTAGGTGTAGTGTGTAACTCAGTCCTTAGATTTTTCCACAGGATTTGAACGATCAGTATGGTCACGGTTGTCAACAGCTCACTTCCTCTGCCACACACACCTTAAGGATGAGGTCTCCTTCTTGCAGCGAGGCATCCTTTGCTGCCAATCCCGTGTCCGTGATGTGTTTGATGAAAATCTGGCTCCCTAGCTTTAAGCCGTATTCTGCGTTTAAAGGGCGACAGCCAGGGGAGAGAAGGAGACAAACAGGTCGTCAATGAAATGAATTGGAATCTACACCTGTCAGGTTTGTGAAGCACTTGTATTTAAGCAGTTGGATGCAAAGCACGCAAGCTTTCAAGTTCCACAGAACCCTTAAGCAGAAGGATAAATTCTGCGTCACCAGAAAGCCTACACCACAACATGTCCTCCCCCCAAAAAAAATACGTTATCAGTTCTACTACTCTGTAGCTTGGTTGAGATATATTATGAAAACGTGGTTTACTTTTGGCTTTAAGGAAATCAATCCTAGACTGATTTCCCACAAGCAGCTGTGCCACCCTCGCTCTTCCCTTCCCCCGACTGTATTCGTCAATTTCCCACTACTTGCTGCACAGCCGCATTTTGACCCGCAACATCCCCCGATTTTCTCCGCGTCTTCTCGATCTCAAAAAACAAAGACAGAGAAGACACGGCGGAAATCGGGGGATGCGCTAGGTCAAAATGTGGCCGCGCGGCAAGTAGTGGGAAACTGACAAATCAGGGGAAGGGAAGAGCGAGGGCGGTGCAGCTGCTTGTGGGAAATTGGTCCTAGTTTACCTTGACAAACACTGGCTTCATCACCTTTGATTGGCAGCCAAGGAAGAAGCCAGGATCAGGCCACAATGTCTACACAAATATATCATGCAAAACTGCGGCTAATCAGCCAGTTGCAAACCATGGTTTCCGATCCTGGTTTACAGGAACCTAACTAACCACAGGTAGCAGAGCAGTCTGTGTTCAGACAATCACACAAACCATTGTAGGACCTGACGTTTCGCAAGTACCTGTGACAGACATTCTCAGAAAAATGGTAGGCAGGTAATTTATATCTACTCAGGAAAGTGGGGTAGGGCTAATGACTCAGCCCTACCCCACCTTCCTGAGTAGATGTAAATTACCTGCCTACCATTTTTCTTCTCACCTTGACATAGAGATTACTCCGTTTTTCTGTGTTATACCTCTGAGGATACCAGTCACAGCTGCTGGCGAAAGGTCAGGTCTTACAATGCCAAGACCACGGCCACACAACCCGGAAAATCCACAACAGCTAAACTGACTTTTCCTTGATTTAACTGTTTGCATTACCCTTTAGAAAGTTTTTTTTAAAAGAAATTCAAAAACTAACCAACAAACTTACCTTTCATTGTTTATAAGAAAGAGAGCCTTTTTATCCATTTCTGACCATTCATACAAGATATTTGCAGTTACTTGTGGAATATACGGCACCCATATAGAGTCTAGCCCTGACCGGGACCAGCCCAAGCTAGCCCAATCTCATCAGGTCTCGGAAGCTAAACAGGGCCGGCCCTGGCTAGTAAATGGATGGGAGACCTCCAAGGAATACCAGGGTCACTACGCGGAGGCAGGCAATGGCAAAGCTCTTGCCCTATGGAGTCACTATAGGTTGGCTGCAACTTGAAGAGAAGAAGAAGAAGAGATTGGATTTATACCCCACCCTTCACTACCCAGAGGAGTCTCAGAGCGTATTACAAACTCCTTTCCCTTCCCCTCCCCACAACAGGCACCCTGTGAG